CACTCTTTACTTTTGGACCTCCAAGTCCCAGGGGGCTTCCAAGCTGTACACATCAGTCCCTCGGCCAGAAGCACCCAAGCTCACCTGAAGAAGGGCAGGCTGTCGTGGACGATGCCCTCATTGGAATGGTCATTGGCGTTGGTGAAGAGAGGAAGCCAGCCTGCCGGCAGGGAGTCTGTTTCCACAGCAAACCCGTGGTTCTGGGATGTCAGGAAGCAGCGCCCAGAGCCCGCCAGCAAGCATGGCTGGTTGTGGCCTCGGTTCCCATACCTGGGGATGGAAGCATGCTGGGTCACAGGCCCCTTTCACTCTTCCTTCACCTCTGGACCAAACCCAGCTCTCATTACTCTCAGGACTCTCACCAGCTCCTGCTCTATTTCAACACGAATAAACACCAACTCTAGGCCCTCTCCCAAGACTCCCCACCCCTCCTGTCAGTAGTGCAGGCTCTTCCTCTCCCCATAAATCCCACCTCATCTTGTAAGTCTTGGCCCCAATGGCTAAGGCCAACAGCTGGTGTCCCAGGCAGATCCCGAAGACAGGCCGGGGATTAGGCTCCGATAAGACACGGCTCAGTGCGGATATCACTCTGGGATAGGAGGCAGGATCTCCAGGGCCGTTACTCAGGAAGAGACCCTCATATTCTGGAATGGGCAGAAAAGATGACGTCACAACCAGTATTCAACTAGAGACACACTTGCAGCCCTTACCATTAGAGCACAAGCCCTTATCTCCACTGTCTTCCCTGCAACTCATGTTGGCTTTAGCAGTTAGACCAAGGGACAGATCTTCCACACGTACCATGTGCCTGTGGTCCTACACAGACCCCAGCTACTCACCGTGGCTGTCCAGTGCATGGTCCCAGGGGACCACAGTGACCTCGGCCCCACGCTGGCACAAGCATCGGATCTGATTATACTTCAGGCCACAGTCCAAAGCCAGAATTCGAGGGGTACCCCCTGCATTGAACACTTGTGGAGCCTGAGAAAGAAAGGGCAACGGCTGACAGCTGTGACCAGTGGGTATAGATAGGCACACACCAACCCCCTCACTTTGAGGCCTCTTCTGACGACCTCAAGTGCTCCCCATGGTTATGGACAGACTGTAATTACTGTGCTACAGCTTGCAACACTCGCCCACTCGCCCACTGTACCTTAATGGAGACCTCCGGCACCAGGGGGCGGGCATTGGGGTCCAAGAATGGCAGGGCTGAAGGATCTGTCCCATCCTGGACCAGCTTTCCCAGCAGAGACCCCTGCTCTCGCAACTTCTTAGTCAGCTCCCGCGTGTCCACTCCTGTCAAAGCAGCACACTCTGAGAGCTGCCCTCCCCCAGCTCAGTCGTGCGTGAGGTTAAGGCTTCCCGGAGAGCTTCCATCCCAGAGCCCAGTCACACACAGCTGGACTATGGGCATCAAAGTCCTAAGCCACCCTGACGGAATCACACTACCATCCAGTATTCTCGCCAAGAATCTCACATCTGAACTGTACCATGATTCCAGATCTATTTGTTTACAGAAAATTCTATCAAGATTTATCTATTTATAGAAAAAGAACATGCTAAATGATACAACGGGAATGTAATCGACAAAATGCAGACTGGGATACTCCAAAGAAAAACTGACCTGTTTCTGTCAAATAGGTTACAAGGCCCATAGATTAAAAAGATATAATCAAATGCAATGTACCCATCTTGTTTAGATTCAGATTCGAAACATTCAAAGAAACAATGAAAAAATAACTTAGCTAACTGGGAAAATTTTAAATCTTGACTGAATATTTGATATTAAGGAATTACTGTTACTTTTTAGAATGTATGCTGTTATTGCGGTCATGTTTTAAAAGGATTCCTTTTTCATAGACATTTAAATATTTATGGATAAATGATATAATGTCTGAGACAAGCTTTAAAAAATCCGGGGTGACTTGTGGCCATGCTCCCATCAGGGACCCCTTTCCTACAGGTTCTCTCTTTGGCTTCTGGTAACTGTTTGCCGCTAGAACGTTGTACTGCTATTCTCCGGGCTCTGGGCCATCTCCTGTTAGGTTTCATGAACCTGCTCTCTCCTTGGAATAGTTAGTCCCTTCACTAAACTTTTCAGTTCGGCTTTTGAGTTGCATGTGCTTCCTGCCCCAACTATGACCTGACTTATTTGTATGGAGACCCTAATAAAACTCTCATTAAACCAAAAAAAAAAAAAAAATAATCCAGGGGTACCCAACTGGCTTGCCTCAGTGATTGAACCAGGAGGTCATAGTTTGATTCCCGGTCAGGGCACATGCCCGGGTTGCATCTCCACGGGGGAGTGTGCAAGAGGCAGCCAACCAATGATTCTCTCTCATCATTGATGTTTCTATCTCTCTCCCTCTCCTTTCTTCTCTGAAATCAATAAAACACATATTAAAAAATAATAATAATCTGGGGGTTACAGTAATGGTGATGAAATAAGTTTAGCCCTGAGTTGGTGGCTATGGAAACTGGGGGTTAATTACATGCTATTCTTTCCTTTTGTATGTTTGAAATTTTCCATGTGAGCAAGAGCTCAGTTCCTTCCTTGCTCCAGACCCCAATCTAACATTCAAATCAGATTCTTTCTATCACAGCCTTGAACTCAAGTCCCAATAGTGCACAGAGATCTTCTCTTGATTCTTCCCATCGAGGCACCAGTCCTCTGCCCAACCACACTTGTGCTTGCACTATACCTTGCAGGCCAGGTATGCCATGCTGCTGCAGCCACTCGTGAAGGGTGCGGACGGAACTCCAGTGGCTAGGGGTGGGGCAGCACTCTCCCACCACCAATCCTGCCACATGGATCCCCGAGGATTCAAACCACTGTTGATGGAAGGAAGAGATCATGAGGAGCCCAGGGCCTTATAACTCGCTGTGTCATCTTTTCTCATTGAGTGGCATGAACCCCGTGCTTCAGCCACACTGAATGACCTATCACTCCTTAAACACACCAAGCCCCTCATGCTTTTGCCCTTTACCAGCAGTGCTACCCCCCATATGAAACACTGAACACATGGGCCCAAGGTGCCTGATTAATAATTGAAAATGAGCCCTAGCTTGTTTGGCTCAGTGGATAGAGCGTGGGTCTGCAACTGAAGGATCCCAGGTTCAATTCCGGTCAAGGGAACATGCCTGGGTTGTGGGCTCAATCCCCAATAGGGGGCGTGCAGGAGGCAGCTGATCAATGACTGTCTCTTATCACTGATGTTTCTATCTCTCTCTCCCTCTCCCTTCCTCTCTGAAATCAATAAAAATACATTTAAAAAACAAACAAACAAAAAAAAACAAGTTTGTGTCTTTTTCACAGAACTGTGAACTCAAGAACAAGGTGACTGATACATGATAGTAGCCAATAAACATTTACTGAGAGCTGGGGGAGGGGCAGTGAGCATGAAAAAAGACAAGGTCCCTATGGTCACAATGTTAATTTGTTACTTAGGGGCATGAAAATTAACAAGGTAACATGTAAATAAACAAGATTACAATTACACAGTGTGATAAAAATAGTGTAAGACAGGTGGGTGCACAATACCTTACTAAATAAAGATAAAGGTTCAGGGAATATACCTAGGCATGATTATACCCTCCTCCTTCACAGGGGATTGATTATATACATAAAAGAAAACAGAAATGTGTTATCTAACAGATAAGCATGTAATAACTAGAGAAACGGGTCATTTATGTGGGAGGGAGTTGCATATTCAAATTACCTCTGCTTAGTGGAAGTTTTTTAAAGAAAGATGGGTATGGAGCTTGTTACTTAGGGATTTGAAGGATAGTTTGGCAGAACCCTGAGTGTCCAGGAAGACCAGTCTGCACATGGACAAGTGTGTTCACAACACATGTGACTGAAAAGCATCCATGGTGACCCGGTGGCTCTAGGAGGCCTTACCCTGGTTCTGTCAGGGCCTCAATTTTGCAGGTTTATACAATCAATTTTGTGAGTGTTTACAGTTGACAAAACTGGAGATTGACATGTTAACCAAGATACTGCACTGTAAACTAGAATGCAGTGTATTCATAGGCTTGTGATGAGACGGGGTCCTTTGGAGGAATAACATGCCCCTCACCTAGAGTTCCCTCTCCCAAGTGGAAGGCAAATTAAGAACTGAGGCTCAGGAAGCCTGGAATCAGGACAAAACAAGTTCGAGAAATACTGCTCCTAGGCACTGGGTGTGGTTACCTTGCTGAGACCGAACTCATCCGCTTCATCTGGGGGGATGCCATAGTTGCCGATCAGAGGATATGTCAGCACTAAGATCTGTGCCTTGTAGGATGGGTCTGTGAGGGCTTCGGGGTAGCCGACCATGCCGGTTTGAAACACTGCAAGGAAGAGGCAGGGCTGGGGCTCAGGAGGGCCCCCGTGGGCACACTGCCCCACTCCGCGAGAATGCCCTAGTGACCGTGAGATGGAGGGGGCTGGGCTGGGCACTTGGGCGCCGAAGGGGGGGTGGGGGTGGGGTTGTGTCGGCGGGAAAATGGCGGGGTCTGGCCAGGGCAGACCGGGCAGAGAAGGGCGGCAGAGAGTGGGACGAGATCGGCAGCCGGACCGGGCTTGCTTACCCACTTCCCCGGCAGTCGACACAGCTGCCCCAAAGGGCTGGCCCCGCAGGACCAACCCATCCTCCAACACCAGGGTCGCCATGGGAACGGAGCTCCGCGCTGTGGGCTCTCCGAGAGCTGGAAGCACAGCAAGTTTCCGCCGATGCTGGGGCCACGTGAGGACCGGGAGCCCGGAGTAGGTACACGTGGCTAGCGGCGCGCCCGGCTGGAGACAGTGCGCGGCGGCAGAAGCCCCAGGAGTGCCGGGAGGCGGCGGACTGCGGCGGCGCGGGAAGCGGGCGGCGTGAGGGGCGGGGCGGCACGTAAGGGGCGGGGCCAGGGCGGCGGCGAGGTCACAGGCGTCGGACTACCTGGCGCTGAGCCTGGAGAAACGTGGAGAAGAAAACCCACTTCCACCCCAACCAAGAAACACACAAAGACGGGGCACCTTCCTTTAAAAAAAAATTTATTATCGTTAGCAGCACAAATGGGACCTGGGACTAGTCCGCTCCTCGACTGGAGTGTGACCTTCCAGCACTGTGCAATGTTCCATCTTCCTTCCAACCTTGGCCTTGTCCTGGAGGAGGCTCTGGCCAGCCCGTCTAGGAAGCAAATCTCCCTGGCTGGGCTAAGATGGAGCGGGATGACCTTAGGTCAGTAGGAAGATCTAGGTAGTTCATGAAGCCTTGGCTTTTCGGCGTTGGGTTCCCCAAAGAAGGATGGAGATGAACAATGTGGTGGATCCCAAAATCCCAAAGAACGTAAGCAGCGAGAACGAGCCCTGTGAATAAAAGATTTTAAAAAAAGACTCATACACCTCATATAGTGTTACTCCAAGGGCTACATCCTAACACCCAGTTTTATCCTATTATAACTATCCCTTCATCCGGGGCAGTTCTTTCAGTTTCCTTCACTAGGTGATTTGCATCAACTCCTGGTCTTATGGCTCTTCTTTCTGAGAGGTTTTTGCTCTATGCATTTCTCTCATCCCTAATAAGAAGAATTCATTCCTCACCTGGCGCATACACTTGTAGCCATGGAAGCCATCAGCACAAACACATTGCAAAAGACCTGGACCATCAGGCACACAAGATCCATTCTCAGGACATATTTCTAGGAGTCAGAGAAACAGAGAACATCACTGGATCTCATATTTCTCAAATATCTGCTTCAAATTAGATTCTTTCAATTATTTCCATGTCAAAGGAGAAGAAAGAGTATAGATAATCAGAACATAATAATATAAATATATTTTAAGATCCTTTCTTTCCAAGGGGTTACAGCCTCAGAAACCTGAACAAAAAGGCGCATGAGCAATTTTACTATCTTTCTGATCTCATGGGGAGAATCCAAAGGAGGAAAGGCAGTTCCCCAAAAGGGTGGAGAGGAAACAGCATACCTGTGTCCCCAGTGCTATTGCAAAGGTTCCTTTGTCCTTCACAGGTTTGATTGTTTGGGTAAAATGTGACAGTATTCCAGGCATTAATACCTCCAGGACAGTTGACATCTTCTGGTAGTATCCTGAACAAGCATAAGCAGTCTTAATATGCAACCTACGTTGCTGAGCTCACAGCACTGCCCCTCTTTGGTTCTCTCCCCAACCCCATACCCTTACTCACAGAGTCTGGAGCTGGATAAAGCCGTGGAAGGTGTTGGCCAAGTCATCCTTGAGGGGGTTTGCGTGCAGGTCTCTGAAAAGCACACACTATTAGCACTGTGCTTTAGAAAAACACTCTATTAACCCATGTTCCTGGACTGGTATTCCAGTTTTCATTCTGAGCTGTCCAAGTTTAGGTATCAGTATTCAAACATTTTTTGAGGAGTACATCCTCAACGACTTTCCCATCAACCCTTTGTCATAGTCACTTTTTGGTTAGGAGGATAACTAACCACTTACATGATGATAGCAGTATGTGCTTGAGGAAAGTTTGGACCAAGGTGCTTCAGAGAACAGTTCTGGAGATCCAACCTGAGGAAATAAGGTAATCAGTGTAACTACATGTCTCTCTTTATCCATTAGAGGCTAACACATCCCTTTTTCTGCTAAATATTAGTTGAACACAGATGTGTTCAGGGCCACAAACTAGGTGCTGTAGATGTTTTAATGGTGCACTGTCCAATTTAGTTACCACTAACTAGCTACGTGTAGCTACTGAAATTAATTTAAATTAAAAAAAAGTCAGTCCCTCATTTGCACTAGCCATATTTCAGTTAACCATTAACATGTGGGTAACAGCTACTGTATTGAATGGTATAGATATAGAATATTTCCATCATGGCAGAAAATTCTTTGTATCTATGCATATATTGGAAGAAATTGGTTTCTTGTCTAGATGAGTGAATCTCATATTATGATATGACCTCAGATCCACAAAGGACCTTCAAATGGAAAAAAAATCCAAATCACATAATCGAAAGTTTTTTCCAAGTGCATTTTCTACCACAGATTGGATGTAAAATGCTGGATATTAAGGAGCATGCCACTTTATTTTCTTAAGTATCTATTGCTGTCTGTTCCTCTATTCTACAAGTATTTATGGAGCACCTACTAACTGCACAAATTTGGAATGTAAAAATAAAACCCTCAGTATCTTAGCTTTCTTTCTTTCTTTTTTTTTAGCTTTCAAATGGCTTACAATGTAGTACGAGAACAAGACCAAAAATAGGATCAATATAAACATTAAAAGCCTAATATGCTGAGTGTCCAACCATTGTTGGACTATCTGATCAGTCGCTATGATGCGCACCGACCATCAGGGGGCAGATGCTCTGACCGGTAGGTTAGCTTGCTACAGTCCAGCTGATCCTGACTAGGCTAGACCAGCAGGACACGCCCTAGAGCCCTCCCCCTAGAGCCCTCCCCCAACAGATGGCGCACAGGTGGGGTCCCTTGGCCTGGCCTGTGGGGGTCGGGTGGAAACTGGCAGTCTGACATCCCCTGAGGGGTCCCAGATTGCAAGAGGGTGCAGTCCAGGCCAAGGAACCCCGAGGAACCCCACGGGTGCACAAATAGTGCACCGGGCCTCTAGTATGAAATAAATCACAGGGCAGTATAGAAATAAAATTGATTAGTACAGACGTTAAGGATTAGTGGGAGTAAAAAAAATATATTACTGTGGTATTTAGTAGTAAGGAGAATTCACAAAAGATGCTGGAATTAAAGAATGGAGCCCAGTTGGTATGGCTCAGTGGTTGAGCATGACCGGTGAACCAGGTCACTGTTGGAATCCCATCCCCAGTAGGGAGCATGCAAGAGGTAGGCGATAGCCGGTTCTCTCTCATTGATGTTTCTACCCCTCTCCCTTCCTCTCTCTCTAAAAGAAATAAAAACATTAAAACAACAAACAAACTGGTATGCAGTTCCAACCAGGATGAACCACAGGGTTGTTTACCCAGCCAAAAATGCTGTAACAGGTTTAGAAGTCTGAGAATTATGGTTGAGATGCCTCCAAAATAAGCACAAATATTTATCCCAAACGCCAGTCAGGGCAAGCCTTGACGAATCTGGGTTTGGAACTCTTTCCCACTATCCAGCGAAGTCTTCTGCCTCACCCCAGGATGGTGCCATTCTGATTCAGGCAGCAGCGGGCGTGCAACATTAGCTCTGGCGTCTGCTTACAATAACGGGCCACTTCTGACCGATTTCCCACACTCCCTGGGCACTGGATGCATATCTGCGGAAGAGAGAAAACTATTAGGACCCAGAAAAACAACAACAACAACCACCACCACCAAGAAAGAACAAACAGGGATGAAAAGTTACATGCCAGTACACCTCTCCAGAATCCCTCCAACAGAGGGAAGCGTTCTACCTTTGCATCAGGGTTGACAGACACCTATCTTCCCAGGCGCCACATCAGCGCACCAGGGCCTTCCAGCCCCAGACCACACCCAGGGAAAGCTCTGGTCCTTGAAGATCACTATGGGAACGTATTTATTACAGTGACTTCTCAACCGGACAGCGGGCTTTGGCGGGGTGTGACAGGACTGCAGGTACACACTCATCAAGCCTTAGAGACAGGACAGTCCTGCCCCCGCACTGCACACGCGGCAGCCGTGCGTGGAGAGCCTGCACAAGAGCCAAAGGGCTCATTAGTTATTCAGAGATCCAGGCGCGAGGAGGTCAAAGGTGAAAGGTCTGGGGCTGTCGGCAGGGCCAGGGCGCTGGGAAACCTGCGCAGAGTGAGTCACCGTGAGCGGGAGGTCATACTAGTCATCTAGGGCTGGGAAGGCCTCAAGGGCAAAACCGGGGCTGCGCGCCGGCTGGGGAGGGCCGAGGGCGGCGAGCGCGACACCCGCCGGCCCCGCGCCTCGGCTGCGGGCGGCCTCTGACCCGCTGCTGTACCTCGGGGAGCGCCAGAGCCCTTCCCACGCGCAGAGCGAGGAGCAGGGCCGCGGCCAAGGGCAGCGGGATCGGAGCGCTGCCAGGACCGCGAGGGGACATTTTTCCGGCCCTCGGTGTCCTTCTCAGCTCTCGCGAGACTTGCGCCGCGGCCCCGCCCCCGGGGGGCGGGGACTAGGGGGTGCCGGCTGGTTGGCCCGGCTGGACTAGGGGCTGCTGCCCGCCGAGGTCAACTTCCTTCTGCGTGCGCCCCGGTCCCCGGAGGGGAACTGCCCTGCCCCCCCTCCTGCTCCCCATCTCGGCCCCGAGCGCCTCGCGCCGGGACGCCGAGGTCGCGTCTCCGCTGGTTTTGGGATACACACCGGCCCCCAGTCGCCATGGGCGGGGCGTGCTGTGGGCGACTCACCCCCCGGCGGTTCCGCGTTCCGTCCTTGGCGGGCGCCCAAGCCCAGCGTTGAGCCTTGCGTGGGCAATTCGGGGCAGCCGGAAGGTTTGGACCCCCGTCGGACGAGGAGGGCGGGACTTGAGGCGAGTGGGCGGGGTGGCCCGTGGCCGTGCCCGTGCCGTGCCCGGCGTGGGTCCCAGAAAATTCGCAGGTGCGGGCGACCAAGCGGTTTGTAGCCCTTGCCCCTCGCCAGTGGAGGGAAGGTGGAGAGCGGGAACTCAGGAGGACAGGAGCGCGGAGGAATGGAGGGCGAAGGGCCGACCCTGGCGGGAGGAGACGAGCGCGGACGCTCCGGGCGTCCTGTCCCCTTCACCTCCGTCCCCGGAGCACGCGGGGACGGGTGCCCTGGCGCGGAGGTCGGGGCGGGAGCGATGCTCCCCTGCAGCCTCATCCCCCTTCCCTCCCCAGGAAAAGGGGGCGATGCTGATCTCGGGTAGAGCGACGGGACCTCCCAGCGCCGCCTGAGCCACGAGGTAAGGAAAGGCGAGCGCGGTCCTCGGGTGCCCGGGGCTCTGGCCAAAGGTGCGGGGCGGCGATGCTGAGGCTGAGAATGACGGCCTTAGAAATGAAAGTGAGCGTGAAGTTAGTAAATGAAACATTAACATGTTAGTGAGGGCCCCTTAAAGCCTTTCAGACCATCCGGAATTCTAGGCACAAGATTTTGAAGGAATCTTTTGGGGACGCTTGGTCCCGCTGTGGCCCCGTATCCTTTGCAGGAGTCCCAGCAATCCGATGTAGCTTGTGACTGAGTGAGGGTAGGTAGGGGTAGGTAGGGGTAGGGTGGTGGGAAAGACTATCTTCCTTGTCTTAGGCGTTGTTGTTGTTGTTTTTCAGAGAGAAAGGGAGAAGGAGAGAGAGATAGAAACATCAATGGTGAGAATCATTGATCGGCTGCCTCCTGCACACCCCCACACTGGGTATTGACCCCCACAACCCAGGCATGTGCCCTTGGCCGGAATGGAACCTGGGACCCTTCAGGCCGCAGGCTGATGCTCTATCCACTGACCCAAACCGGCTAGGGCAGTCTTAGGTGTTTTCAAACGGGTCCCACCGCCAGCTATCTGTGCCCTGTGTATTGCAATGGTAATGACGCAACTCAGTTCTTACTTTTGGCTCACAGTCTTTCAGAGATACAAGGCCATCGGGTTTGGATCCGTGTAGAATTGTTAGCCACTGTCCTGTTCTTAGAATCCTGTCTGATGAAGACTTTTTTTACTGGGTCAAGTTTTTTTCTGTCTTGTCTAGATAGCCGTCTAGGAGGGTTCCCCACACTTAACCAGGAAGCCCTGTGAGTTTACTCCCGCTGTCTCCAGGTCTGCATGCCTGTGTTCTAGTTTATACTAGAGTCTTCCTTTCTCCAACTACCTGCCTATCCGTATCACGAACGCTTTACCACTACACGTTCTATTCGCACACAGCACCACCTCTTACTTTCCAGCAGTTCCAGTCACCTCTATCACAGCAGTAAAAGATTTGCTGGGAGTGAGAAAACTCGTGATGTTGCAATCTTCAAAGACCCGGGGCATCTTTAGGTTAAACCACCGTGGCCTACTGGGAACATTGTTCGCAGTACTGACATTTGTAACTTGTGATCCAAGAGTTGCTAGCTTTGATTTCCTCTCTTCATTGGCCCCAGGAGTTTCAGAGTTCAGGTTTCATTTGTGTGAGGCCATATCATTCCAGCAGGCAACATCTGCCCAAGAACACAGCGTGGGAGAGCCAGGGAAAGCCAGGCTCTCTCCTACTGGGCAAGAACAGAAGACATCGCTTATAATGATCTGTCTGTTTTTTCAAAATATATTTTTGTTGATTTCAGAGGGGAAGGGAGAGAGAGATAGAAACATCAATAATGAGAGAGAATCATTGATTGGCTGCCTCCTGCATGTGCCCCACTGGGGATCGAGCCCGCAGCCTGGGCGTGTGCCCTGACCGGGAATCGAACTGTGACCTCCGGGTTCATAAGTCAGTGCTCAACCACTGAGCCATGCCGATCAGGCACGATCTGTGTCTAGACTAGTTGAAATCTAAACTTTGTTCCACAAATGACTGACTACAATGAACATTCTGTCTCTGTCCTAGTTAGTAAGGCTTGGGCCTCTGGTGAAATTTTAGTAATTAGGTGGTGTGTGCCATGAGATGAAAAAGGTTGAAAAGGTCGGAAGGTCTCTAAAGACCATATGGTATTAATGGAGAGTGGATGGGTGGGGAAAACACTAGCCCAGGGTTCTAATTTAGCCTGTGGCCACAATCAGCTCTGCAGTTTGAAAAGATCACTGAGTTATCTCCGCCTGGTGTCTTTGTAAAGGAGGGTGTTATCATAGTGATCTCTTAAGATCCCTTTAAGTTTTTAAATACTATGATCCTGTCCTTGTTCTAAGGACAATGGTATATTCTTTGAGGATTAGCATCTCTTGTGCTGGAGTCAGAAAAGTAACTTTCCCACCTTTCAGCCCCTCCTTTCCAGTTCCCTTTAAGACACGGTGCCAAGTGTGACTTAGAGTGAAAGCCTAATCCATCTAGGAATGTTGTTGCCTGTGAGCTCCCTGCTTCTCGTTCTGGAGCTGGAGTTGGGGGTCCTAGGGAAATAGGGCCATTTGGATCACAGTGATTGGTTCCCTGAAGGGGCCAGAACAAACAGCTGCTGAGTTTCCCTTCGCCTTCCAATTCCTGATCTCAGCAATAGCTGCTTATATAGAGCCAGACCTTCAGTCTGCCTAGCTCCAGACACAGCTTCTCCAGGCAGCTCTGCCTCAGACCGGGATTGCTTCTCTAGGTAAGTTGTCTGCCCCAGCAGGATAAGGCCACTCTCCCTGGCTGTTCCCCTGGCCCCAGCTCCTTGGCTGGTTTGCCTCTCCCCAAAGTATTCTATAATCCTGACTCTGAACTGCTGGTCCCAGCACGTTGCCCTCTGTTTTTTCAAGAAGCTATAACTTTATTAATGATAGAAACAGGACAGATTTCAAACCAAGCTGCAGTTACTTTTTTGAAACTCAAAAAAGTCCTCATTTTTATTTTTTAAAGAGTGTTTATTTATTTTTATATATATTTTTACTAGAGGCCCAATGCACGAAATTCATGCAAGAGTAGGCCTTCCTTCCCCCAGCTGCCGGCACCAGCTTCCCTCTGGCACCCGGGACCCTGGCTTCGCTCAGGCCACCAGCAGGCACCCAGGACCTGGGCTTCCCTCCAGCCCGGCCTTCGCCCGGAATGATGTCTGGTCTAATTAGCATGTTACCCTTTTATTATTATAGATTTATTTCAGAGAGGAAGGGAGAAGAAGAAAGAGCAAGAAACATCAATGGTGAGAGAGAATCATTGATTGGCTGCCTCCTGCATGCCCCGCACTGGGGATGGAGCCTACAACCCGGGCATGTGCCTTGACCAAGAATCAAACCGTGAGCTCCTGGTTCATAGGTCGACTTTCAACCACAGCCACGCTGGGTCAGGCAGTCTTGTTTTAATTTTATGTCCTTAACTGCCACATCTGTTTCATCAGCCTCTTCCTCTTCACTTTTGTACAGTTGGAGTCTGTGTTTTTTTTTGTTACCTTTTATTTTTTTTAATTTTTTAAAAATAAATCTTTATTGTTCAGATTATTACAGTTGTTCCTCTTTTTTCCCCTCATAGCTCCCCTCCACCCAGTTCCCACCCCAACCCTCTGCCCTTACCCCAACCCACTTGTCCTCATCCCATAGGTGTATGATTTTTTGTCCAG